TCCGCAGCATTTTGAATAGTGCCTGAGACACAAATACTGAGTAAATATTTCTTAGGTAGATGAATGAATGAATGAATACATCTTTGGAGAAATAAGGATAAGGAAGTTATCTTCAATTTTAGAGCACTGATGCTATAACACATACAGAAATTAATAGCTTTGGTATTTTGTTGGTGAGAATTCACCCAGAGAAGATAGGAAGATGGATCAGTGCAGACTGTCAGAAGTGAGGCCTTCACTGAAAGCTTCTCAAATGTGTAACTATCTCACTCACTCCTTCTAGAAAGCCTTGGCATCAGTGGCCAGCATTCAGAGTAGCTCTGACTACAATAATGGTACTTGTAGCTTCTGTTTATCTGACATGTTCTCCTTCAGTCACATCAGGAAGGTTAAGGCCTCTGGGCTATGGATGGGGTGATATGAATGTTGTGCCTGCTTTGATTCATGGCTACAACTGCCCTACTTCTGAAACGTCAGTTTTCCCATTTGTAAAAGGAGCTACTAACAAAAAAGACCTCAAAGCATTCGGGGAAGATCAAATGAGCTGATAAGTGAAGCAAGTGCTTAAGTAATGGTAGCTGTTACTCCTTTGTAGCTTTCTCCATTGGACCAAACCTACTTCCACCAGGAAGCCTTTCGGTTTTGACTATGCTCTTAACTTATTATAACCTCTCTTTTGAGCTTCCTGGTGTAATTTCATGCTAAATAGAGTGGCAGCCAGTGGTTCAGAAGGGGCTATTGTCACCGCCTGCACTATCTCCCTAATGAGAGGCAGGCCTCTCCAGTGCTGCATCTTTCTCATGTTCCCCCTCGTGGCCCTGTGCAGAGAACAGGCTGGCTGAGAAAGAAGGTACTCAAGAGAACATCCCTAGTCTCCCTCTTCCTTCCAGAGGTCACCTATACCTCACTGCTTGACCCTAGCAGCACACTCCTTTTAGCTGATCTGGGCATTCAGTCCTTTGTTTCCACTGCCTTGCCTTTCTCCAGCTATTGTGACAGAACAGCACCTTGCTTTGGGGAAGTTTGCTTTAGTGTGGCAGTCCCAGGAAACAGCTTGGGCCAGAGCCAGCAGTGGTCCTCAAAGGTATTCACGATGAGGAAAACGGAATGAGAACACAGGTGGAGACGAGCCTGGGGAGGCAGGCAAGACCTGGCCCTCAACATCCATGGGATGAGGTGGCCTCAAGGGTAAGGACAGGGTGAAGTCACGGAGAGGCAGCAGAGGTAGGGTTTCACATCCTTCTGCACCATCATCCATTCTCTATTGCTTAGCGTCCTACTTCATTTAGTGACAAGGATGGAATGATAGTTGATCTCTGTTGTGGAGTAAAATACTGATGTCCCAGTCACTGTACGAAGGAAGCATATTCTACATTTCTCTCTTGCTTTTTCTGTTTTTGAAATGAGAGAGCCAGCGAGGTATGGCAGTGCACACCTGTAATCCTAGCACTCAGGGGCTGAGGCAGAGGGTTGGCACGAGCTGGGGGCCTGCGTGGGCTACATGACGCATTCACGGCCAGCCTGACCTGCACAGTGAGACCTGTCTCAACAGCAGCAACAACACAGAGACATGGAAGGACCAACGAAGAGTGGTAAAACATGTATTACCAATTACAGGAATGAAGCTAAAAAGAACTGTTTTTGTCTCTCCCTCTTATCTTACAAGTTGAGAGATTTATTGTTTGTTTTCTTAGGCGAGAAACATAACTGCATATGTAAGCTTTTAAAAGGCAAAGCGGAAAATCAAATTCTGTTTTTAGTAGACTATAGGCTTCTTGAGGTCAAAACCTGGCTTTCCTTTTGGGACTCTACAGAAGCTTGAAAAAAGACAAGACAAGATCTTGTCCTTGGAGGGAGCACGTCTGTCTTCAGCATTCATAAGCTTTCCATGGGACTCTTTGGACATAAAAGAAAAGTCTCTGAAATTAGGACTAAGTTAAACATCTACCTGTAAGGTTTTGAAGATAGATAAAAAAGAAACAGGACTAAAGAAAGAAAGAAAGAAAGAAAGAAAGAAAGAAACCAAGCAAGCTAGCTCTATGCTTTTAGAAGAAGAGACCAACATAAGAGAAGCAACTAAGTACTGTATGTGAGATCACACACTTAGTAAAGAGAAGGGCTTTGTATAAGACTGAAAGTCAGGAGGATAAATAGCTTTGGTTTTTGTAGTCTGAGGTAAGATGGGAGAAACAGAACCTCAGGCTTCAGATCAAACAAAATGAGACTAGGGATGGCCTCTTTCCTTTTCCCCAAAAGCCATCTGTTCTTTTCCTAAAGGTTATAAAAGGTTTTTTTCAGACTAGTTGAACAAACCAAATCTGGTTCCTTTCTTAGGAAAACTTGTTTATACTGTATCCCTTTTTAGTACTTGTAAAAGTTGGTGAACTTGGTTCTTCCCTATTAGCCTAAATTCTTCCACACTCAGCAAATATCAACAGGAAAACGCTTTAGTCATTGATAACAATGAACGCAGGAGCTCAGACAGAGCCTTAATAAGCTGGCGGCGCTGACAGAGGGAAAGACAGAGACAAAATCTCCAGTTCGTGTTTATAGAATAACAGGTTTGAAAGCAGAGAAACACTAAAATCTAGGTAAATTTGTTCTGACAGTGACAATAGCACACAACACATATCAGTCTAAAGATTCATTTTGGAACTGTCAAAGCTTTCAAGCAGAAAATATTCTCAGTGGCTGAGACTTGGTTAAACAAATTTCACTGCACAAGGAAAAACGAAGTTACTTTTTGAAGTGTCTTAGTGGAAGAATCTCAAGCAGGAAACCAGAAATCTCACTGTTAGCCAAATAAGGAGAGTCATTTCCAAGCTTATGCCCAGGAAAATACTTGCGAGGTCAGGAGGTTGTAGGGACAGAAGTGACCTGGACCCACCATGGAAGGTCACCTAAACATGTTCAGGAAGAGGTGAAGAATCAAAGCCAGCGGTGGTGCTGATCGAATCTCTCTTAGGCAAAATGGTGGGTGGTTTGACCCAGTAGTCAAAGCTGTGGCAATTTGAGCAACAAAATAAATAATGACAATACTGGACACAGACAGAATAAAACAAACATGCATGATTCCAAGCTGATATAAATACATAATTAATGGAGAAATAACAAGTGATGATGAAAGAAAAGACAGCTCTCACTTCGAATAGCTATCAATAAAGAAATAAGAAAATAGAAAATCTCCATTAGGCAAACATGACAGTCATAACTGTTATAAACAAGAGTTACTGATGGAGCTTCAAACTCATGAGTAAAACTATGAAAAGAAAAGATTAAGTTGGCTTTGCTAGGTATTTAATACCCTTAGAAACAGTATTTTCCCATAAGATATACATTAGCTATAAATTGAAAAAAGTACCCTTGCAAGGGAGCAAGCTGGCTGACACAGCCTTAACCAAGCGGTCAGATTTATCAGCTGACACCAGTGACCTTGTGCCACTTGATGTGACACACTGAGAAGGGAACAGATCATGTTGGTGTCAGTGTTGTCCCGAATATGTAATCTCAAACGAATCATGAGAAGCATCAGGGAAAGTCAGAGAGAGAGAGAGAGAGAGAGTCTGTAAAGCGAATGATCTGAACTCTTCCCAAGAGTCAAGGTCACAGAACAAGATAGGGTGAGGTAAAAAGGAGGCAATGGAGGCATGTGTGTCATATCAGTGTGTATCCTATTGGAGAAAAGGACATTACTGGGCACTTGGAAGTTCAAATAAGGTCTATAATTAATGAAAAGCGCTATACTACTGTTAATTTCTCTTTTTTTTTTTTGGTACCGGGGATTGAACTCGTGACCTTGCTCTTGCAAAGGCAGGTGCTGGAACCACTGAGCTAAATCCCTGGTCCCTAATTTCCCATTGTTGATAGCTGTAGACTATGGTTTAGGTTAGATGTTAACACTAGAGGAAGCTAGTTTAAGAATAGATGAGAACTCTCTGTACTATAAGTACAACTAACCTGTAAAATTATTTAAAAAACAAAGAGTTAAAGATAGAATTAAGCTTAGCTTGATTTCATTTGGCAGTCAGCCAGGGCCGGGCTGAGGTGCACACATTTCTCAGGTAAGACCTAAGACCATGATAGCAACAGCTGAGAGAAGAGTCAGGAAAGGATACAGCATTGAGGGCTTCTGCCATTAGCACCACTTGCTTGATCAGGGAACAATATTCCTTATAGCAGTAGACTCCCTGCCCTGTGCACCCTAGGTGTTGCCCAACCTTTCCTACATTCTCCTGATTAAGAGTAGTGATGGCTTCTGACAAAAGAGAGGACTCAGTATGCAACCTGCATGGAAGAGATGGTGAGGGAATCCACAGATGCCATGGTAGTGAGTGTAGGGAGAGTGCTCAAAACAGTAAAGTGGGTAAACCTGGGGAAAAAAGAGCCAGCCAGCAGCCCACCTGAAATTTACAGAGGGCAAGCAGGAAAAATGTGGGTCTCCTAATAAATGTGGGTTTTCAATAACCTCCAATTCCTCAATAACAACTCTCCTCTAGATTTTTCAAAACCAAACTAATATATCAAGCCATTCTACTCATTTTACCTCACAAAAAGTCACATCTACAAAAAAATTACAGTCAAATCCTTTTTCCAGACCTTGTAATTTGAAAACAATCTTACAATACAAAAATAAACTAAAGCCAGATGCTTATTTGAATGTTACCAATTTGAGAAATAAAAATAAATCTTATAGTATTAGAGCTTATTTCTTGCTAGAAATTAAAATATTTGCAGAGAGATGCACCAAAGAAAAGTAATTGCATAAAGGCTTATGACAGGAGATGGAAAGCTTTACATTCCAAACATGATTTTCAGCTTGAAAAACTGGGGTATAAAGCATAATTGTAAATAGTTCTCGAGTGGCTGTATAGTATAGCCCTTCACTCTCACTGTAGAGGTAACTGCTTTGTGGTCACTCCACAATTGTGCTTTAAGCCAAGAACACATTGCACCACTGTGAGGGGGTCCCACCACTGTACCATGCTGGGGTCCATACATACCTCCCACAGCATTACAGCGAGATGTCATTTCCCAGAGCACCAAAGCCATAGAGTAAACATCGGTCTGCTTGAAGGACTCAACATTCTCCAAGTTCATCCTGGATTCCAGGACTTCTGGGGCCATGTATCTTGCAGTTCCCACCTAAAGCAAAAATAGACATTGAGGCCTATCATTTAATTCCAGGTCTCTCTAAGATCAGGTGCTCTTTTAAAAGATCACGATGCTGTTTTAAATAATAACTGCACAAAAAGGTACGTCTACTGTGATTTTTAAAAATAGATGTTCTCTCCCTGAAAAACCTTTAAAGACTATAAACAAAGCATGCCAAAATAAGGAAGTCCCAAAGCCCAGAGCTGCCTTATCAGTCCCGTGATAGATGGGATCACACTATTCAATAACATCCTTACTGATAACCTGAAAGACAACATCTGTGACATTTCAGATGTTTATTTTTGCTTTTGCAAATTAAACATTTTTTAGTTCTTGAAACTCCCAGGCTTACAATGAAAATAATCACCATCGGTTTTGATAATGTAAGGAGAGTTTTAATTTTGTTTACCACATGGTACATTCCACTGTGTCAAAGATGTAATGTAATTTCATAAATCTCCACAAAATTGAACTCATGTGAAAGTATTTTCACAGTAAAAGACCAATAGTGAATCCTGTTATAATTTTTATGGGTGTGCCATGCGTGGAGTTGTAGTTTGACTTTTAGCCCTGTGCTAATCTTTATGACTGAGCATGCAAACAGGGGACCCATAGGAAAGAAGAAGAAGTATTTCTAGGAGAAACATTTCAAATTCAAGTGTTTGAAATGCAGCCTGTACTGCCTGAAGAAATAGCAATAACTGTCCTACCTTCCGAAGGACCTACAGAAGGTCAAGTAATTTGTTATCATTCCTATGAACATTTCTTATTGGCATGTAGCAGAAGAAATTTTTCTTTTTAACAGGTCATTGCATGACTCATTACCCCGGCACATTAGTTTGTATTTCACATGTTTGTCTTAACACTCCTGTGCTGCCACGGGCACAGAGGTCTGATTGAGCAGTAATTGAGTGTCCCAGAAGCACATGCTGCTACCTAGCCAGAGCAAATAATGGTGCTTATGATGAACTTCACAGTGTGAAAACATGGGGCTCATCATTTAGAAAGGATGCCTTGGGAATTTTTAATATCCTTCCAATATCACCTTAGCCAAAACGGTTTCCACTTTAACCCATGAGGATGTTTCAAAAGCAGAACTGCTCATTTGCTCAACAAATAATTATTTACTTGGACACTGTCATTGTTCAAGGCATTGAGTGACCACATGGTTGGATTTGGACATCAAGGAAACTGCCTTCTGGAATCTAGAAATATAACTACCAGTGGTATAGGGCAGAGAGGACTAAGCACCATTATAAGAGAGGGAAAAAATAGAGATAAAATGGTAACAGCACTTGAAGCAAAGAAAAATCATTTGTAAATGGAAATGAGGACTGACCCTCAGATGAAAGTATTTTCCCTGAGTTGGGAAGGCTTTGAAGATGGGGATAGAAATACTGTCCATTAGCAAAGGTACCCAGGTAGGAGACAGTGAGCATGCCTGTGGGTAGACTCCCGACTTTGGCTAGATTCCCTAGCCAAGAAGTACCCAGAGTGTTGAAGTACTCCAGACAAGAGACATGAGGTATGGATCAAGAGGTAGGGTGTTGTCAGCCCAAGGCAGGAGGATCTAGCAGCAGCTCTCACTTACCTGCCCACTGTTGGCCAGGTCATCTACAGACAGAGTAGGGTCCAGACGCAGGGAAAGCCCAAAGTCGCAGAGGCAGCAGGTCAGATCATTCTTCACGAGGATGTTGGAGCTCTTGAGATCTCTGTGCACGATGGGCATTTTAGGTCTCCCACATGGTGTGTGGTCACTATGGAGGTGGGCGATGCCCCGGGCAAGGGAACTGCCCAACTTGCGCAGGTCCTCCCAGCTGATGACATGCCGGGTGAGGTACTCCTGAAGGTTGCCCTTGGCATGGAAGGCAGTGATCAACCAGTACTGTTTCCCCAACTCTGTCTTCCGTTCCTCAGCTGTGAGAAACTGGAGGATATTCTCATGCTTCAGGTTGATGTCTGAGAAGATGTCTTTCTCTGTCTTCCAAGAGGCATACTCCTCATAGGGGAAGATCTTGACTGCTACAGTCTCGAACTGCTCTGAAGTGTTCTGCTTCAACTTGGCCTTGTAAACCTCAGCGAAGCGGCCTTTGCCCACCAGTGTGTCCAGCTCGATGGGCAGGAGCTCCGTGTTGTGGTTGATGTTATTGGCACATGTGGAGCTGATGTCAGAGCGGTCATCTTCCAGAATGATGGCACAGTGCTCACTGAACTCCATGAGCTTTCGTGGCTTGCTACTCTCCCAGGATGGGCTCAGCTTCTGCTGCCGGTGAACACGGTAGCAGTAGAAAATAATGATGACAGCTATGGCGATTCCCAGAGGCGGCAGAAGACTGACTCCTGTCACTTGGAATATGACTAACCACAAGTCAGGACTGCTTGCAGCATATTCTGATGTGAAAACAAAACAAAGGAGAGGTGGAGTTAGGTCAGGAGGCACATATGGTCAAGAGGTGAATCCATGCCTCAAGTGTCCATCCATGTTAGCGTCTGTTTAGTTTTTGAGGATGCCACATTATGAATATTCTCCAGGCCACAGTTGCTAATATATTCCTGTTCATTCTTTCCTATCTCTGGTCATCCAATGCCTCCTCCCCTTCCCCAAATTGCAGCTTAAATGTCACTCCCTAAGGGAAAACTAGGAAAAGTTGGTGAAATACCATTTTTATATTTTTATTTATTCTTATAGTAGCACTGACCTCACATTGGATTTGTATCTATCATTCCCTACTTCCCCCAGCCCCAGTAGACAGGGTGCCCTATGCTGGCTGGGACTGCTTCCCTGAGGTAAACAGCATTTAGCACACAGCAGGTCCTCATATTGTTGAATGAATACAAAACATTTACCGAATGTTAACTAAAATCAAGGCATTGCAAGTGGCACAGGCAATATAGATAGGATGATCCTTCAGCCTTCAAAAACCTTGCATAAGTGGGGTCTTCTAAAAATGTATATACTGGCACAGTTCTGTCATAGTCTTTCCTCTTTCCCAAGCTCCAACTTTGTTCTGCTCCGACCAGCATTCAGGCTGCCCTGACTCGTCTGATCTGGGCTGTTAGAGGAATTTATGGAAAGCATCTCTTTGGAAGTCTGTTACTTTATTTCCACCCAATACTTCTCTGTTCACTGTGCATACACTTTGTCATTTCACAAAGCAGAAATAATTAACAGTAATAATGGAAACACTACTACAAAGGTAAGAGGAGCTAAAGAGAGAAATGTGGTCAATTTTCTGACTTGGAATACTGAAGCAGGACCCTATGGATTAAGGAAGAAGAGTGCTTAGCATCAGATATATAACCACAGTGTCTTATTTATCAAACTTTGGTTCATTTCCCAGCCTTGGTTTGTTTTCCTCTTGAGCAAAGAAACATGGATAAAACCATGTAGTCAGCAAGAGACAATGATGGCAGTAACAGTTCAATGAAAGCATATGATTGGTAATTCCATTAGGCAAAAATGTGAGAATTTTAATGCTTTACATGTCATTCATTTGCCCTTGAAGTTACTCATTAATGAGCAGACCTCATGCTCAGACATAAGATTCATCTATTAATATACCGTTACTGAATGTCTACTATGAGCATGACACTGCCTTCAAAGAGTATCCAGTAGAGGAATAAAGGAATGTATACAAATGCTAATCAACATACAGCATTCTGAAATGGGAGCTAAATGTGTGCTGCAATCTATGTGTTGGTGGAAGGTGAAAAAAGATCGGAGAAACATACAAAGCAGTGGCAATGACTGCCTTTGAGTTGGTCTCTGATGGACTGGAGAAATCAATGATGGGTAGAAACAGTGTCCTGTTCAGGAGAAAGAATACATTCTCTCTCTGGAGAGCTCTCCTAGAATTACTCTGCACAGGGAAATACAAAAGAGAAAAAGCTAGGTAGGTGGTATTGAACTAGACTTCACATCATAGAAGTGATTTGTAATTCAGTTAACAGTCTTCACCTATAGTAAGTGTCTGAGGAAAAAGTGATGAGAACACAGCCTAACAGTGCAAGTGCAGTGGAGACACCCATAATCTCTCAAAGGGAACCGATTACCTAAGTGGTGTTTGTTATCATCACCTACTGAAATGCAGTCAGAAATGAAGCTAACAAATGCCAGTGTTGATGTGTAGGTATAATATGATTCACTACACAATCTGATTCAGTATCTGTTCTTAAGGTAATTCTAAATGGAAATGCCACCGCCTCACTCTAAGATCTTAAGTCTATTGGATAGGACTAAAAACTAATTTCAGCAAGAGGAGAGAGAAAAAACCCATCATTTTAGGAAGAGACATATTAATGCACTTAAAAATGAGAAAAGGTATATAATTTGGTAGTTGAAACCTGAAAACACAAATTCTTATTCTGGGGAGCGTAGATAGAGACAAAGGACAGAAAGGACCTGGGACAAAAGTGGCAGTAAAAATGGAGGCGGGCCAAAGCAACTGTGGAAAGGAGCTAAATATGAAAGGAAAAAATGGTGGACTGTCTCTGTTGTCCCACAAAATATGAGCCGGGAGGGCAAAACTAAAGAGAAAGATGAAATGATGTTCAACTGCAACAGTAGACTGCAATATTAGCTCTTTGAAACAGAACTCCACCTCTATTGTCTGAATCATCCTGTGGATGGATTTGCTTAAAGTACGCACCTATTTCCATTCTCTATGTCTGTAACTATATAAAATGTTTTATATCATAAATTAGTTTCATTGCCTGACTGATTGATTTTCTTGGGATAAAGTAAGCTCTACATGAGCAATGGCCAAGACTACTCTGATCACCGGGATGTATCTTGCACATGGTACAGGGCCCTGTATAGAATTCAATAGATGTTTGTTGCATCAGTTGGATGAATGGTTACTTGTGTGGGGTGGTATTCCTCAAATTTCTTGTGTTCTAAGTCAGGGTTTGGCAAACTATCACCCGAGGGGCCATGATCAGTTTTTGTACATCCCTGTAACATAGATCTTTTTACTTCATTTTAAAATAGTTACACACACACACACACACACACACACACATGCATGCACGCAAAAGTTTCTGCAACCAAAATCCTATCTGACTTGTAAATCCTAAAACATTTACTATCTTGCTTTCTATTGAAAACGTTGCTGACTCTTAAGCTATAGGTGCTATTACTGCCAGAATTTGGAGAGACTTTCCTTTGGTCCAATGTGAAACTCTTTTTCATACATAAGGAAATGTAACTCAAAAAATGTTAATATTAACTGCATCATTAATTAATTGTGTCTCCAATTCATTACAACATCCAAGTAAACTGTTAAAATATTAATCACTGATAATTTTATTTTAATCACTTCTAGCTGTATATAAAAAAGGTCTTCCTTGCTAATATCTATTCTTTTCAGGCTAAGGAAAATACAAAAAACAGAAAGCCCCTGAAGTTTATGTGTGGCATTGACCACAGAAAATTCTAGAAATCCCCAGTTCAATGTTAGAAACCAAAGTTTTACTTTCTTCTCAAATTTCCTGTGATTTCTTTTTGAAAATCTGCACATCAAAATTCAAAGGAGAGGAATTATTGAACAACATCTGTCAATCTTGAAACTTGAAAGAGGTGGTAAAATACCTTAACAATAACAAACCAGTCTGGAAGGAAGCCTTGGGGTGCGGCTCTTTCTAAGCAGCAGACACCCACACCCTCTTGAGAGTATTAACCCTTGGACTGCTGGTAGAGAAACTAACCACTGTTGACATAGGCACAAGCTGGCATCTCCTTCACCAAGAGACCAATGGGAAGTCCTTCTTTTCAACCCCCAATTACACACTCATAGACCTCTCAATTCCTCCAATCTTTAAATAAACCTCTAAATAACATTTCCGAGGATTAGGTAGCTGGCTGTGAGCTAAGTGTTTTATACAATATTTATAATTAATTGGCAGAAATACTATGTGAGGTAGAAACTACTATTGTTATATACCCCATTTTACAGATAGGGAAGCTAAAGTTCAAACAGTTTAAGTGATTTCCCCAGATCATCAACACAGGTAATAGCAAAGCTGATATCTGCAACAAGCTCTGAAGCTCATGCCATAATCTATAAACTTCACATTGGTGAAAGCCAATTAAGAATGACTTTATATAACCTCTCAGTTTGATTAAGTGGTTTTCTTTCCAGGAGGCTGAACTAACTGCTTTCATAGCCATCTGTTCAGTGACAGAGGTAATTCTTGGATAATGCATGAGGGGGCATCTGCTGGATGTGCAGACTATTCTCCTTGGTTCTCAACTAGAACCACCACTGAGTAGTGCCCTTGCAAATACGGGTCTTCTCCCTGCATGGGAAAGAATCTTTTTCCCCCTTCAGGGTTTATCCTAGGCCCTAGCACATGGGGATCTTGAGACAAAATGTTGAACTACTGGAAGCTTCCCTGAATAGTTTCTTATTACAGAACATCAAGGTAGGTATAGGTCTGGATGGACTTTCTCTATTGTTCATAAAAAATGAGGTTCTATACTAAAAAAAATAAATCAGAAGTTCTTAAGCCTGAGCTCCATGAATAGGATTCAGTTTTGTGAATTTAACTTAGCAAAAAATCACACTTCTCATTTCCTCCAACCTTTAATGAAACCTCTGAATAATATTTCCTAGGATTAGCTGTACCTATGACTTTGTCCCCAGTTGAAATATTTTCACTCCGTCTTATGTTTGTTACAGACATCTTGGCAGATGTCTTATATTCGTAAACTCAGACATTTCATCTTTTCAGATATGTTGTAAACCTCAAATTATCACTATATAAACATATTACTGTATCATAGATTCATTTTTAAAAATATTTGATCATGACATTTCAGTATAACTGTTTTTCTCCCCAAATACTGAGTGTTACATTGTATTCATTTGAAAACTTTATTCTGAGAAGAGGCCTACAGGCAACATCAGATTTCAAGAAGTCCATGGTGCATACATTAAAAAAAGCAAAGCTCGCTGGGCAAAGTGAAGGCATAGGAGCTCTGGCCTCTCTGCCAGGCTTTCCCAGAGCAAAGATCTTGAGATTCAACAGTTCTTCTGAGAAGTTGATATTTGGTGCCAGAGCAGATCAACCTGGTTTGCTGTGGTGTGTGTTTGCCATATGAGCAATGGTGGATTCTGTCTCGCTGGAATTCTCTTAAAAATAATAAACACAAGTATTTGGTATATGAGCTGGTACATGCTGGTATATGCTGATATATGAACATCTTTGAGATTAGAGTGTCACCAATAACTTGACAAGAACCTATTTAGATGTTATGCCATGTTCATTAGTATATCACTGCAACGAGATACACAGAATGTTATCATCTGTGTCCCCTTCTATTACTCAGATTATTAGTATCTTAGTAGATTTTCCCCAAAACACCTTTATTCAGTGGAAGTATTGCCAAA